GGATTCTTCCCACAAGGCTCTATTCTCAGAGATAAACAAGATCCAGGGTCTCTGGAAGAGCTGTTGTGGGTGAGGACACACAAAGTCACAAACTCCTCTTTAAGGATTTTTCTTGAAGTTCAAGGTGTTAAAGAATGGGAATGTATCAATGTGGTTCTGTCTACACCTGAGACAAAAGCTATCTGCTTAGACTAGCATGCATCACATTGGTATTTGGGGTTGAGGTAGGCTTGCCTAGAACTAAGCTGCATACAAGTGGAAAGTGAATTCCACGTAAACAGGCTTCAGGCATCAGACAATACACTTTACTCTGCTGTTCACTTATCATACCGCTCTTGGGCTTCCTTAACCGCAGAGTTTTCTCCCAGCATGCCATGCCTTGGTCTTCCAAGAAACTTTTGTTTACAGAGCTTTCTTGGATGCTGGTGACCCTCATACCAAGCAGACCTCCCTCTTTGATACTCTGAGTCACCTACTCTGAGCCCAAAGAATCAGAAGACAAGGAGCTGGTGAGGCCGCTCAATGAGTAATGTTGCTTGTTATGCCAACCTAGTGCCTGAGTTGGGTTCTCTGGAACCTATATAAAGGTGGGAAGGGGAAGACACCACAAAGCTGTCCTCTGACCTCCATACATATGCTGTGATGTGCACATTCCCAGCTCACCTTGCATGATCACTCACGGAGAGAGAGAGAGAGAACAAGTCAACTCAAAAGGAAAATAAGAAGTAGGTAGTATCTTCTAGAAATCCCAGGTTCGTCCAATAGGAATTCATTTTCTCTATGCCATCGATGAAGAGAGAGAGAGAGAACAAGTCAACTCAAAAGGAAAATAAGAAGTAGGTATATCTTCTAGAAATCCCAGGTTCATCCAATAGGAATTCATTTTCTCTATGCCATCGATGGGGATTCAGTTTTGTTCTTGTTTTTCTTTTCCAGTCAAAGCATGAGGTGTCATTGTGACAATGAGGAGGTAGAATAACTACTGAACTGTGTGACCAACAACTCATTCAATAGATTTGAGGGCCACTGGGCACTTAATGTGGTTTTGAGTGCTGGGAACAACTGGCACTTGGTGGAGCTTGGATGGTTTTGAAAGAAGAAAAAGGCAGTGAACACCCAAGGCAGAGTTAGGAAGGAGGGAGCTGCTGTTAACTGTGTTCAAGGAGAGCTGCTCAGAGATGGCATCAGGCAGCAATGGATAAAGAGAAAAACTGTACCAAGAATCTATTTGGAATGTTCCAGGATGAGAATTGAGTCGGTGGGAACACCCTGAGAAGGCCTGTCTGTCATGCTAGATGGAGAAAAGAAAACCCAATAGGAGAGTGAAAAGATGGTGCACGAGCATGCAGCCAAGGACATCCAAGAGGTGATGAGGACCCAATGCACGCTGAATTTGTAGGCCCTGAAGTACATGCGCATGTGTTTTGCAGCTTTACTTGTGTGTGGGCGCGCTTGGATACAGGTATGAAATTCATATCACAATTTTCTGTGGCATCTTGCATTTGTTTCCTTTTTAGTGTCATAAAACACCTGGTCCTTGCCACCCATGAACCTAAATTTTAAGAATGTGCCATGAACAGAAAGGGAACTTCTCCCTCTGAGGATCTCAGACTATGTGCTGAACAAGCAGGCAGCCCATTCAGAGTTTTTATCACACAGGTATTTGTGATACAGAAAACTGACAGCAGGTGGCGCTGCATCATTTCATATTATTGAAAAACTAGAGATGTTCTTGAGTGAAATGGATTTTCCTTCTTTTGATTAGACTTGCTAGAGTGTGTGTAAGAGCTGATGTCTGTGAGAATGAACAGTGTGGCTGTGTGTGTTTAATGGCTGCTGTGGCCTACCTCTTAGACTTGTGTTCTAAAGATATGCGAGTTAAATCTTGCATATGTATCATACCGCTATTTGTTTCAAAAACATAAAAAAATGAAAATTCCACTAGAGGTAAGCACTATTCAAACTATAAGGAGGGTATTTTAAAGCAGAGCTCCTTAGACTTCAGTGTACACAGGAACTGTGCATATATTTTTGAAGGCTGTTATTAGTGTTGTGTCTCCAAATATCATTCACTATATCTAAGCTAGAACCCAGATCACTAAATTTGTATCATTAATTCTGGGGAATCTTTCTCTTTAGATCATCTTCTCCCAAATAAAAGGTCACTTACCGATCAAAACCCAGGAATCACATTTTTTTAAACGAGAGAATGACTAAGGGGATCATTCCTATTAAGGTAGCTCTAATCTTATGGGAGAGAAATTCTTTACTGGCAGTGATTGAGCTGGCATCTGCATTAATTTCAAACATAGGGCAGTATACATTGGATTTTTAAAAGGGCACACTATTCAAGATATGTCATAAGTCAACAACAGTAATAACATACAAGTTACATGTAAGTACAGGACGGCGCTGTCAGACCCCAGACTGTTGTCCACCTGCACGGTCACTCGGAAAATGCCCACATTCTGATAGACATGCTTGATTCCGTCTTCCATGGAGCTGAGGTTGACATAAGACACTGCAATGCCATCCCCAAAGTCCACCTGGATGAGTGTCCGCTGCACATCACCCTGCAAAAAAAAAAAAAAAAATGGGCAGTGCTAAATGGAGAAGAGTTAGTGCTTGCCTGTTCTTGCCTTGGATGCTGAGGCTCACTTGCCTTCCTCCTGTGGTTGAGAGCATCTGCCTGCTATAATAGCATCTCTGTAACAATGAAATAGTATGCTTACAATACTCTCCAAGGCAAAGGGGCACCAACAATCAAATTCTCAAGGCTTAAAAATAATAGTTGTTTCATTACCAATTTCAGTTAACCAAAATATTGTTAGTTGGAAGGTTTTATTAATGGTCTTATCTGGTATGGTTAAAGATCACTTTCTAGGTCTTCAAGGACCATGAAATATCTTCTCTATTTCTAGTTCCTTTGCTAAGTTGGGGAACGAATGAAAAATAACTTTCCTGACACCTGATAAGACATGAGACTTAGAATTACTTGTCATAATGATAATTATTCCTTTTTGCTTGCTTGCTTGTTTTTATTGAAAATACACTCTTATCTTGAGGCATTGCTCTATCAAAGCATTTCTGTAGAACATTAGCCTGGAGAGGAGAGTAGACAATGTTCATCATCCTAATAGATGAACGTGAAGTCTCGAAAGGCCTCATTGTATACTGAAGGTTACCTCAGCCAGGAAGCTATAGTTGTGAGATCACAAACCATTGTCTCAGGATTTCCTAATCATTTTTGTAGATGAGAGTTAGCCCTGTGGCTAAAGCAGGTCTCACTCAGCCTTGAATCATAGTCACCATTAACAAGTTATATGACTTCATACAAATCATTCAGCTTTTCTCTGTGTTAGTTAGTTTTCTCTGTGTTAGTTAGTTAGTTAGTTAGTTAGTAACTCTCTGTGTTAGGCTACAAAATGAGCCTAACAACACTTTTGTATCTTAACTCAATGGGTTGCTATAAAAGCCACATAAATAGTGGTGTATAAAGTGCTATGCAAATAAATAACTGCTGACTTAATATGAAAATGAGGCTGTAAAAGGCATACAACATCCCTCAAAATCTTACTTTGATCTATTGTTCTAAGTTTCTCCTGTATCATCAGGAGATGATGTCTGCATTTACAAAGTCCTATGAAAAGAAAGGGCCTTTGGAATGACAGTTTAGAATTTCTAGGAACAATGTCGTTTAGATTCAACTGGCAAGATCAAGCTTCCTTCCTTAAACACCTTCTTTTTTTTTGATAGCCTTCAACAGTTTCAGGAAAACAACAAAACTGAAACCTTTGAACTAGAAATGTATTTTCAATTAAGTAAGGTTTATGTGGTATCATATCTTTTGAAAAGGCCAACATTAAAACGCTGACATTTAAAGGATTAATACACAGAAAAAGGTAAAGCAGTTCAAACCCTATGAGTATATGTGACCTACAGCTTCAGTCTTCTCCCAGTAGTGCAGGGTGTCATGCACAGTGGCCAATGTTCAGGCAGAGGGAGCGGAGCTTTGAGTAACATCACAGATTGAAATCTTTCTCTGGGAGAAACAAAACAAAACAAAACAAAAAAACAAAAAACACAAAACAAAACAAGAACAAAGAATCCTCTACTTAAGCTACTACACAGCATCCACAGGCTGCCACACTGTCCTTGAATTCCCTTTTCTAACAAATTTAAATGTCAGCAATCTTGCTAATGTGTTGTCATGTGGACAACTCAAGGGTACTCATGAATCTTCCTTCTATTCCTGATACATTTCTACTTCCAGGTTTTCTCAGGTTTCAGAGTCATTGAGAAGTCAACCACAGGTGTGGGGAAGGGGGAGGAATCGGAATTTAAAACAAGTGTCTGAGGTAAACATTAGAGGTAGATACAGTTGTTTGTCCTTAAGATGAGCAATAGAAATTCCACTGGAGACAGAGGGACAAGTATGAGTCAGGATTACAGAGTAGGAATCAAGCAGGGTCCATGTTTGTAAGACAACATGGGGAGATTGAATCTTCAGGCAACTCTGCTTTAGCCTCTCCTAAGAGGGCGTAGTCACCACCGGTCTAGTATTGCTCACTTCATGTAAACATGGGCACTTAAATAATCTTCTCCCAAGTGACAGAAGAGATGGCTCTAGGCTCACAGGATGCATGAAGACCCGAGTTTGCATCCCTAGCATGTAAAAATCAGGTACTACAGCATATATCCCAAAACACAGCACTGGAGGCTGGGGGACAATGCGATCTCAGAGCTTGTGGACAACCCTGCTTTGTCATTGACAATAAGGCCCAGTCTCAAATAGTAGGGTAGAAAGCTATAGAGGGTGATACCTTCCATTTCTGTACACACACACACACACACACACACACACACACACACACAATACTCCCATACTGTGCTCTGTTTATCTACTTGTCATGATGACTTTGGACATTCTTAATTCTCTGCTCATAATAATGTTCTCCCTGTATATGAAAGGACTCACTCAATGTCCACACCAGTGCATTAGTACTAAGGGTTGACATTCTATTACTGAGAATTCTGAAGGCAATGGCATGGCATATCCCAGTTAAACAACAAGTCTCCAGGACCCTGGCTGTAGTGGAAGGTCTTTGTGCCTGAATTCTGCATGAGGAGATAAGAACGACAATGTGCCACACCTTACTGTTAAAGACAATCGATAAAATCACCACAGACACAGTTTTGCCTATTCGGTGGAAAGAAGTGGACCCTAAGCTTTGGCCTTCAGGACCTCTCAACACAGTGGCTAACACCATGATCACTAATCACTTTGGGACTCATCAGCTACCATCCTTTAGTTTGCCTAGACTCTAATTACCACATGAGGCAGGGATGACAACATTCTTTGGAGAGAGATAGCAGGCTAAGTCTTAGATAATGCTCTGCCTGGACAAGCTGGCATATTCATTCGTTCATTCATCAAATCAACTAAATATAGATATTTTAGAGTATCTGTCTCGTGTGAGATACTAAATGGGAAAATGCAGCTAAAGAAATAGCTGCAATGACTTTGCAAATATAGTTAGAGCTTTTAAAACTTCATGAACTACTATTAAGATAGATGCACATGATATAACCACACATAATACAATACTAATATAGGAATCATAAAGACTGCTACATGGTGTCATAAGTTTTGTGCCATGGGGAGAGATGGAAAGTTTCTCTGATGGGAACTTCTAGGAAGGATCCACAGAACAAGTGAGCTAAGACCTAAAGAAAAGAAAAAATGCAGAGTTGTAAGCCATGTGGAGGTTATGCAACCCAGGCAATGAGGTCATGGAGAAATCCATGTTCAAAGTCCCAGGAGCATAAGGAGATGTTAAAATTAATACATTAAAGAAGAGTGCAAAGAAATATTATAAGAATACACCACACAATGCCTAGAGAAAAGGCCCTGTAGACCTTCTGGACTGAGTTTCTGATTTAAATCTTTTCTCTAGGAACAATGATAAAATAGCAAAATATTTTAAACAAGAGTGTTGGGGAAGCAGCATAGTGATACTTTTCATTCAGAATGATCACTCTGAGCACTACTTGGAGGATGAGCTGAAAAGCATCCTAGTACGCTGGGAAGCCAACAAGGGATATTCCAGAATAGATGACGGTGAATAGGAAAGAACTTCACATGAATGCCTGTGTACCTCCGAAAAGTAACTCTGGTATAGTTGGTAGTAATGTTCCCCTTAATGCAGAACCCAACTACTCTCCAAGACTCAGGGGCATCAGGATCCCTCAGTAGGAGGATGCTCTCCGTCCAAGATTATTCATAGGTGATGTTGGGTCTGTAACAAATGCTGATGTCCTCTGCTCAGCTGTGGAACATCAGGTTTTCCTTTGGTTTGTTTAATGATAAACTGACTATTAAAAAGCTTTTTAAAATGTTTATTTAATTATATAAAGGGATGAGGAAGATTCAGACTTCAGGAGTATACAGGCTAAATATGCTTCCATTAAACTGCATAGAACTGAACTCAGTTTTAGTGGATGGGAACCCAATCCCTAAGTTCTGTGAGACACAAAATTAGCAGCTGCCTAGCTGGACATGGTGGCTCATCCCTGCAACCTCAGCACTTGAGAGTGTGAGACCCAAGGATTACCATTATTTTGAGATCATCCTAGTTACATACTGAGCTCTAGGTCAGCCTGCAGTATGGAGTAAACTGTACCTCAAAAATTAAAAACTAAATACCACCTGTTCTAGGAAAATTGTGTATTGGGAAGAGACCAAGTTAATTTGTGTGACTCTTAAAGGCTGTGGGGTTTTCTGTTGTTGATATCAATTATCAAGGATGCCTAACATAAACACAAAGCCTGCAGATAAAATTTTTGTGTCCAATACAATTTTAAAAACATACAATTCTTTGTGTTTGTGTTTATTTATTTATTTATTTATTTATTTTCAAGATAGGATTTATTTGTAGCTTTTTTGGAAGCTGTCCTAGAACTCACTCTTATAGACTAGCCTTTCCTTGAACTCATAGAAATTCACCTGCCTCTGCCTCCCAAGTGCTGGGATTAAAGGCGTGGAACACCACCACCTGGCTTATGTGCTTGCATTTTTTTAAAAAAAATTAATTATTTTGAGATTTTCAAATATTTCATGTACATCACTACTGTCACTTCTCCCTCCAGTCCTCCCATGCTCTTTTTTCTCCCAAACTCAATACATCTTCATATTTAATTTTACATACGCATATATGCTACAGGCATGTATGTATGTATGTATGTATGTATGTATGTATGTATGTATGTATAGCCAGGTCCCACTTCCAGAGTTCTCTGAAGTCCATAATGGCCACTTCCTGCCCCAACCCATTAAGGTGAGAGTGGCCAAGACCTGCTCTACAGAAAACTATCCCACCAATCTTTGAGCTTGCCCCAAGATTAGGCCATATAATGTCTCCAATCCCAAGTCACTCTGGAAAGCCCTGACCCCACAACAAGAAACTGTATATAAGCACCATTTTCTGCTAAGGTCTCTGCTGCTTCTTGTCCAAGCGAAAGCAGCCACCCTCCTTAGTTTTCCCCTCTCAATAATCTCTTGTGTGAGGTTTGT